TGGTTCTATGTCTCCAGAGATTACTTAATAAAAATAATACAGTCTGCAGTCCTGTACCTATATGAATAACAAGAGATAAAAACATACTAGATAGCTTTCTTTACATCAAGAAATTTCTACTCATTTCAAGAAACGACACTTCTTGTTGTTATTGAGCTCCTGAGTGGTCTCTGGGCAGAATTTCTACTACTTTTAACTTTTACTGGCAGTTTGAGTGTACTCTGGAAATAGCAGAACATAACTTATCTAAAGAATAAAGGCCTGTGTATTACCAATGATAATAGTCACAAATACTTATTATGGAGGCTCTCAATTGGTGTGATATGTAGGAATGGTGGGGGTAAACGTTTGTAAAAACGTTACTAACTAACAGTGGGGAAGTTTTAGGCGAACGCTTGACCCAAACGTTACGTACGGTAGCGTTTGTAGAACGTTACTTCACCCAACACTAGTAAAATGTATGCATCCTGCATACAGGGAACAGGCCTCCGCTACGAATAGTTGTTACGCCCGAAGGCTGATTCTTCTCGGAAAGGCTTCTTTCCGTGGTGTTCTTTTCATTTTTGATTCTACTACTAGTTCGCTGCAATATCCATCCGCGCTCAAAAAATCTCGATACGATCGCGCGGGGGTTTGGTCGTACAGGTACTACGTACGGTACGATACCGGTAGGTGGATTCAATTGTTGGAACCAGAAAGTGTTGTTTCATGCGCGCGACCTACGGTACTTTACCGGCCGGTAGTACAGTATCTACCTGTCTATCAGGGGGCCACTGCACTGCACCGGAAGCCCGGACGGACATCGTGCATCTCAACAGCGCACGATCATCTGTCAAAATTTTTGAAACGAACAGATCTGGTACCTCTCAAAACTAAGGAGCAGAGGAACAACTCCTACGATGCCGCCGACCGACTTGCATCATCCAATGGCGGCGACGACAATGAGTTCAGAAGATGCTGTCCCTTATATTTGGTCGGAATGTCAGCCTCCGCCCACGAGAGTTCTAAAATTATGGACCGAGGTCGGCAATAAGCTGGACAGGGAAGCAACCGGTGAGTCGAAGCCAAAGTCATCAAAAGGGGGAAACGAGAAATGATTCTCGTTTGAGTCGCGCATGTTTAATTTTACCAAATGAATTTTACTACGGTTTTTTGGACAGTGCAGTGGACGTGCAAAAACAGAATTTCTCTTCTCCCCCTCTGTTGAGTCTTGATAATTTTTTGCAGCTGGGGAATCTCTCTTGTATTGCGGCGTTGGGACGGCTGCGAAAGATTTTCACAATCTTGTTGCGCTCTTGCATTTGCATTACCGCATAACGAGTCCCCTCCCCAACACCGAAGTGAAAAGAGTGCTACGAAATCGATATCGTAGACGGCGTACACACTTGTCTGCCGTGTCTTGCGGCCGCAGCTATGGCCTATCGCTGTCCATCGTCTCTCGCCCTGGGAATTCTGATTCTACTGCGACCCATTTGCATTTCGCTGTGCTACTGCTGACAAATTCCAATCCTTTCTCGTTGTTGACTGCATTGCCTACGACAAAAAATATCTTTGTCAACAATTATGTACTCGAACCTTGAACAACAACAACAAAATGAAAATTATTATAAATGATTGAAATCAATAGTGGTTTGGAGCCAAGCTGTGGAGACCCTACAGGAGGCTAACAACTATCTTCGGATTTCCCGGGAGGCTCGCGATTTCGTGGAGCAATACATGGGCCAGATTGTCAGCATATTATTGGAACAGCAGCCGCTGAAGGTTGGTCAGATGGAACGAAGATGCGTACAGGAATCCTTGACATTGGCCGTCACAATCATCTCAAATGACCTGGAAATTCAGATAGAACGTGGACGGCGAGCACCCCTTGGACCAAATGATGTTTCTTGCAGAACACTTGATGTGTTGGCCTGTGTCTTCTGTAGAAAGAAACAATACTACAAGGGATCGAAGGGAAATTGGAACGTCAACCACCTGAGTGGCTTGCCGTTGATTCGGTTGAATTTAGCGGAAACATTTATGCAGGAAGATGGCTTTGCAAGATTGGTTGAGTATATGGCAGATCGAACTATCACCGACGAGAGTTCGTCTAGTACAGGAGTAGGTGATCCTAGTGGCAGCGACACGGCAGCTTTACCAATATCACCCGCGTCACCTTCTCGACAGCAACAGTCACCGCCTCAGATAGAGTTTTCGGCGACAGGCCTTTCATCTTTTCCCACCATAGACTTATTGCACCAGACTCTAACGGTGTTGTTCGACGTTTGTAATGCGAACAACAAAAAAGATGAAAATCATTTGCGGGCATTGGAACAAGCAGCTAATGACGTCTCGAAAGCGACCATGCGATACATTACCTCCTGCAGCGAAGAAGCTCTCAAAAAAGTTCCCATGGAAGATTTGAAACTGTTGGTACACGATTTGCTTTGTATTTTTGACAAACTCATCGAATTTCGAAGACCAGATACCTATGAATTTTATTCCTTTTGGAGAGGACTCGTTCTTAAACTGATTACGTCCCAATCTCTGCCGCTCAAACTTTTTGGTTGGCAGCAAATGGAAACTTTGCTTGAAGCGAGTGCCGCGCACCGGCCACCTCCCAGATCGTTCGTTGCAGAAGATGCTGGTTGTCGTTTCGTGAACGGCGAATATCGTTTCAAAGGAATCGAAACCGACGACGGATACGGACTACGGTCGGGGAAAGACAACGAAATTTCATACATGAGAGAAATCCCAGAAGATGAACCGGAAGGTGGGGGAAAGACATTGACACTCTTCCGCTGCACGATGCGGTCTCAACAAAAGTGGTGGTTTTTGTCCGAAGCAGACAAAGAGCAGCCAGGAACGGACCGTGATATTGATTACTACCAGCACAAATCGAAGGAACACGAAGAAACGGAACCACCGCTTACTGGGTGGCTGACGTGTAGAAACGCTGGAGTTGATCCATCACCTAAACTCAAACGAATCGGACTGATGGTGCCTCCTGGCGAAGAACGCAATACGCTCGAACACCAGCTTGCGAAATGGGCAATCGACAACAAGATTATTGATACGCTTGTCTTGGGAGATTCGGTTCATCGAGAAATCGTTTCACGAAGTGTGCCCTTGATCAAATTTTTGGCTTCTATGTGCGAGCGAGACTTCGGAACACGAACCAACATAGATGGCGATCGCACTGCTGTTCCTGAGGAGTCAGTAGATGGGAAAGTAGATCAAGACACGAAATATTGCCTTCAGTCCTCTCATTTGCAGCTAGCATGGAAGACATGTATCCGCAAGACGGACGCCGCCGTTTCGGCTCAGATTTATCAACTCCTCGTTTCAATTCTTCCATCGTGTCCAGTGAACTTGGCAGTTTTACTGCTGAAAAATGTCCGAGCATCTCTCGACCAAGGCAGCCAACCAAACAATAGCAGCAGTGGAGGTATATCCAACGGCATGAACTTCAATAATGATTTCTTGACCGAGGTATCCGATTTTTGTGAAGCTTTGGCAGTTTCAAACGACAACCCCACCTATAATAACAATAACAGCAACAGCAAGGTTGCACCTGTTAGCCAGCTCTCTAATGACGTCCGAGCGGAAGTTCTCGACCTACTTTGGTCGTTGCTAATCCACCCCGAGGCATCCTCTCTGAAAAGCTATGATCTTTTGAAGCAATACGTGACTCGAGAACTGCGTGTAGAGCCTGGTGGTACCGAACACCGCAAAACTTACCTACGCCTTTGCATCGTGGCGCTTCAAGAAAATTCAAAACAACTGACTGCGGGAACGGTCGACGAAATTCGGGCGTTGAAAATGGTCAAGTTCACTCATTTTGTTCTCGAGGCTTGCCCACGAGCCCAAGCCGCGCATTTGGTCACAGCCAACCAAGGAAGATTACCACTTTTGCTCTTTGAAGAATTGACAGCATTTTTAAAACGAAAACGACAAGGTAGTAGTGGTGGCATTGGAATCCACGTGCCGAATCCACCTCGAAAGGTAAGGGTAGTATTTTCAACGAGTAAATRTTTTTTATGTTGTTCGTCCACCACTGAACGAAACGATTTAACACATTCTTTTGCTTGTCTGACAGTCGCCATCGCTTGATCAAGATGGAATTCAGGGAGCGATTTCGCTCTCTGAGCGTTTACGAATTCTTCGGTATGTATACGGCGTCAGTGAACAGATGTTCATGAGTACTCCTCAGCTCCACAGTCTGTGGCAGCTTTGTAGTGCCCCCCCTGATCGGGAGGAAGTTATGGCATTCATTTCAAGCGCTTCAGGAACAACTCCTGATCGCAACATCAATAGTGCAAACAATGCTGCAGTCATAAACCAACCTGCGATGTCAAACCAGGGAAACAAAAACATGGCAGGGCAGACGGAAGATATTCTCTCATCAGCTTTCACGGAAGACGAGTGCGCCAAAGCATTCGTCACGCTACTTTGCTCCCCGAACATCGGATTCCAGCTACTTGGTGTAAAAGCTTATCAGAGTTTTCATTTCATGTTCAATAAAATGCGACTTTTGCCATCTCATGGACCAGAGGTTCGCCAAGCTGCGCTGGACACTCTTTGGCGTATCTGTTTAGAGTCGGGTAATGATGTTGTTGCTACTTCTGCAATGAATGACCTATTGAATATTTACATAGGATATAACGCTGATACAGACGACATTCGTCCGAATAGCGTTGAACCCAACACCAATTCATCCGATCCAATGCAAACAGAGTCGTCAGAAGACGGCTTCGGAAAAAGAGTTTTCGATTGTCTATCCAAAGTCAAGAAGGATCTAGATATGAAGGTACCCTCCGCAGAGCTCGCAGCAGAGAGATGCCTGAGGATATTGAATGCTGCTATCGGTCAAGATGGGTCTTCGGGTTCGATATCGATTTCTACACTCAATCGAATGTCTAGATCATCTCCAGTTGATGAACTCAGTCCGATCGCAAAATGTTTGCCCCACGGTATGCGTGGGCAAGCTTGCTACAGGAAAATCACTATCATAGCCAAGCGCCAACAAACGCAGAATCACCAAGAGCAACAGAATCCGAATCAGCATGCAGGAAGTATTTTCCGTTTTTCTATTGATCTGCATCCGCTCGAAACTTTGCAGTCAATCAAGGGAAAAGTTGCATCGCACTGCCAACGCCCAGTTTCCTTTGTCAAACCAATTTCCGCAAGTGGTCGTGTATCAAGTTCTAGTACACGGAAACCAAATGGTGGAGATTTTTCTCACATGAGCCCAAACCATTTGCCAGACGATGCAGTGGTAGATGAAATGGGCATTGTCCAGGGTTCCGAAATGGTGTTTGTCATACAAGATCGACACATAGCGCAACAGAACGTGAACACCAGTAGCGCCAGCAACACAAGAAAAGGCAAAGCGCGCGATTTGAGCGATATTTTTTGCGACGATACCAACAATTTCAGCAATTTGCTATTCGATACCCTTCTAGGGGTGCTAGAGGCTCTTCCATGGCGGGAACCCGGAGAAATGAGTGATGTATCCACGACGTCAACTGACACGCATAAATTGGTCTGGGATCTTCTCCTAGCGATGCCTACAAATCCGACCGTATCTTCACAAGTGTTGCTGACAACTAAAAGTGGAATTGTGATTGAGAACGATGTTGTGGACGAAGATGCTATGGAAATCGATTCGCGACAGCCAGAAGGATGGGCGAAACTACTTGATCTGAAAAATTTCTTCAAGTCTGTGTATGTTCTCCTCGCAATTGATGCATTTCTTAAACCTGCTAGAGAAATTTTATCGTCCCTACCAGTGGAGCGGAGAAACATGTTAGCACGAGAAATGATTGGGGAATCTGCAGTCTTTCGTCGAGGATTCATTGAGTCTGGTGGTTTTGACGCAGTGGTCGGTTTTTTCTCTTCTTCGGAAGACAACTCAGAGATGAGTCAGAGCATGACGAGAAGGGGAAATGCTGTAGCTCTTAGAATTTTGAAGTGCTGCTTATTTGGAGATAGCGATTCAAATGGAGTGAAGGACTCATCTTCAAGTGGTCTGGACGAGGCTGGAAATAGACTCCTGTTATCCCTCGCTAATGCTGAAGGTTTACTGCGTAGTTTGACGTCGATGGTTGTTGCCGACAGTGGTATTTCAAGTTCTACTGTGTCAGATGTTTTGAAATTCTTGTGTCTACTTTTTAAATCACCCGAAACTGTCAAGAGCTTTGTCGCCCTTCCCGATAGAACAGCCGAAAAGTTTCTTACCAGGTTGATATTGTGGGAAGGTAGTTCTGATGTAGCTCAACCTGGCTCTTCTGTGACTTCCATTTCAAAAGTACGGGTAGAAATGCACAATCTTGTATTGGCGACGCCGCTGCTTGCCAATTTTGCTCTACCGTGGTTGAAGAATGCCATTGATTCAATAGATGTCACCTCTGAATGCACCGCGGAGTATTTCCATCTATTGATAAAGTTGGTGACTGAGTCTAAGACTGTTTCCCATAGAGAACTGAATTCACTTGCCACAACAGTCTGTGCGAAACTTGCTGTTTGTCCAAGACCATCAACTGATACGTTGGTTGTAGATTTTTCAACTGGTGTCTTATGTGGATGCCTCGGGTTGCTGGACTCACTTATAATACATGTAGGTGGGGGCATATTAGTGGATGGGACAAGCATACTTTTAAAAGAATTCGAGGTACCTCGTTGGTCTGAAATGCCAATATATCCAACAAGAATTGGTCCCGAGGATTTAACCCTCATGGACTTGATGGGTGTTCTTTTCGATGCCTTCCTTTCGCCTGGGGGGGCAACATCAATACTTGCGATCTGTTGCGATAGAGAATCACGACAAAGAGGTTTCGATGTGGTGAGATCTACAGCGCGTCGTTGCAAAGATGGAAATGGGTATATGGCTCTCGTGCATAGAATAAATGGTTTGATATCTGCTGCAAGTCCATTCCTAAAGCACAGGTGGGGCCAGTCTACAGGAGAGAATGAAGGTGGTTCTAGAAATGGGCGAAATACCTCAAAGTATTCAGGTTTGAAAAACCAAGGTTGCACTTGCTACATGAACTCCGTGTTGCAGCAGCTTTTCATGATGCCTGAATTACGTAAATCTCTGTGTTCAGCGCCATTACCTGCAAGTATCCGAGCATCAGGGGGCGTAGTTTCGTCTAGAGGTGCAGAGCTCGTGGGTAGAAAAATTTCTATGCAGTGGGAAAGCGGAAACTCATATGATGCTGTTGTCGAAGCATTCGATAGTACGACTGGATTGCATACAATAAGATACTGCCCAATTTTCACAGCCACTTCACTTGGCGGGGCGAACCATCACCATTTGCACCGGGAGGAAGTGGAGAAACTCGACAGATTGCCCCCTCTCTTGAAAGAGGAATTTTTTCTTTCGGAAGGACGTCCTGGAAAAGAAACTGGCGTATTTGAGGTTTTACCATCAAAGGAAACCAAAGAAGAAAACAACTCCTTATCACATGAGAGATCTGACGAAGAGATCAAAGAAACACAAGATGAATCGTCTTCACGTCATCTTATGGAAGAAGTGCAACGAACTTTTATACATCTTGAGGAAGGATCGAGAGGTCGCTGTTTCGATCCTCGGGCGCTAGTTGAAGCTTGCGCTTGTTTGAAACTTGAATTTGATGTTTGGCAGCAGAATGATGCTTCTGAGTTTTCCACGAAGCTTCTTGATAGACTCGAAACGTCGTTGAAACGCTGGGCCCCGGATAATTTTAGATACCTTGATCACACTTTTGGTATCAAACAGACAAAGCAAAAGATTTGTAAAGAATGTGGGCTGAAGGTACGTAAAAGTTTTCTTGGCTACTTCATCCCATCTATGTCGCTCTGTCATTACTAACGCCTTTCTTACCCCTATTTAGACAAATCGTGAGGAAAAACTTTTGAACGTAGATTGTCAAATTCGAGGAAAAGCCGACATCCAAGAGGCGCTTTCCACTATGTGCGAGACCGAGATTATGGAAGGAAACAACAAAGTATTTTGTGACAATTGCAAAAAGAATACAGATACAGTCTTGCGCTCTGCAATATCTGAATTGCCGAACATGTTGATACTTTCTCTAAAGCGATTTGATTTGGACTACAACACGTTTGAGACAGTCAAATTAAACAGTCGTTGTGCATTCGGTCAGACACTGAATATGAAACGCTATACTCTTGAAGGTGTAGAAGCAATTGAACAAGCTGAATCTGAAAATAATCACGAAGCTGATGCCATGGATGTGGGTAACGAAGAAAGTGCATTGAGCCATCTTCCTGACGAAGACTACGAATACAAGTTAGCTGGTGTCTTGGTTCACGCGGGAGTTGCACAGGGTGGGCACTACTACAGTTTCATAAATGATCGGAATCCAGGGTCTGAAGACAAATGGTATCGATTTGACGACGAAGACGTAACACCATTTGATCCAGCATCGATTGCAACAGAGTGTTTTGGCGGCAAGGTAAAGAAGGAGACAAAATGGCCGAATGGTCAAGTTCATTCAGTTGAGAGTGAACAATTTGCGAACGCCCTGATGCTGTTTTATGAGAAAGTTAAGATCACAGAACACTCTTCGCCGGAACGAACTGAGAAAGAAGATGCCCATGAAGCAGCATTGGAAAAAATACATATGTCAACGGGATATGACGTTTTTGAACCCGACGTTCGCAGATCCAATGCAACTCATAGATGGCAATCATTTTTGTTCAACGCCGATTTTCAAACTTTCCTCCGACTTCTACTTCATTTATGTCGGGTGGAGAAGTCGTCGCCTTGGAGGAAGAATTTCATAGATATGCTTGTGACATTTATGTTCGATGTTTTACTATACACCAACGAAAGACTCGATCTGATGGACTGGGTAAATGCTGTGGAAGAAATTCTGATTGACGACCCAGAGTATGCTCAAGCATTTACATTGAAAATAGCGTCTAAGACGACTTCCGTTAGCGGAAACTGGCTAAGGACATATCTGTTAGATTGTCCTGACCAGTATTCTCGGATAGCTTCAGTTCGGATTTTCACGGCTGCAATTCAATCATCTTTATCAATACCCGAGGAACAAGGAAAGCTGCAAGATTGGGTGAAGGCTTGGGAGATGCAAGTATCACAAATTGATGTTTCAAATAAGCCTGTACCCTCCCGTCTAAGAGGTGAATTTGTGCAACACGAGAACGTGGATTCGCCGTCTTCATCGGCAATTGGAATGATCTTGTCGTCTATGAATGTTTTGATAGATGTTCTACCAAGATGCTGGAGGCAGAATCAAGAAATTTTTACCTTTATTCGGGAGCTTTCATTTACTGATCCTAAACGTGGGGGATTACTATTACGAGAAGCAATAATTGGTTGCTTGATTCCAGCACGCTTGATTTGCTTCATTAATCGCCAAAAATCTCCACCCGCTTTGGTATCAGCGTTCCCTGGGGCTTCGCTTTCGTTGGAAAGTGCGGAGTACGATTCGAAGGCAGAGCACTCACATTATATGAACGGAAACCAAGTGATGAATCCACCAGATTTAAACTACAGGGGTAACTCTGGGATGATGAACTTCGCTCCAATCTCGTTGTTTGAAACCTTGGGACAACTAATGGGCATTTCCCATCTTTATCAAGCACCACTCTTATTAGAGAAACACGACCAAAGAGGCCGGAAGAGAGGATTTGTTCTCTCTACCGAGGCTCAGGCAGCCTTGACGAAAGTGTTCGAAGAATCTTGTTCTGGATCTGTTCAAGGCATGGGGCAACGAGATATCCGAGAGTATCTTCATAGATGCGGCCACGACAATATTGCGTCGCAGAGAATTATCGACGTCATAGCGAAGTACAATGCTTCATCGTACGGAGGGAATGTCTCGAAAGGGATGAACTACCTTAATTTGACAGGATTTCTTGACTATTATAAAGAGACTGCACAGCGGGAGGATGGAAGGGTGAGTAGAAAGAAGATGCATGCTTCACGGTTCTTTCTTATTACTTGTTAAACATCTCACTTTCTGTTTCTTAGGTTCGCAATGATCTGTCTTTACACGGCTTCAGGGCTGATCTGACACGAAGAAGTAGCGAGCTACGTTTCATTACAATCGAGGGTAGGGAAGATACATTGAAAAGGTGTGAGAGCATCGCACGTGACGTGGCTGATCACTTCCGTAACAACAAACCTACGGTTGGAAAATTAGCTGATTTTGGATTGAGTGCTTTCGAGTTTTACTGTCCCTTAAATGCTAATATGAGCGAGCAATTGGCCGAATACGTCGTAGCAGCAGCCTTCTATAGATATAAAAATGGGTCGGAGAATTTGATTTACAACACTCTTCGAGCCATTTATACGGCACCGCATGGCTGGCAAGGTGCTGATACTACTAGGGTTGCGCTCGCAATCTTGAGTACTCTTGCATCGATCCCCGATGACTATCAGAAGGAGCGAATCGGTTATATAATGCAGTGTACCCGAGTTCTAAACACCGCCGATAACCATCCTCTTGGTTTAATTACTGCCTCAATTGGTTTTCGCGAAATGGAAACTTCTGGTTCTTATGATCCTAACAAAATACTTGACGCCTACGAGCGTTATACTGGGTTTTTGAAGGAAATGATGAATATTCAATCTGTTTACGATTGGATGGAGGATAATCGTGATGCATGGGCACAAATGGAGTCAGATCTCTTCGAAACAGCCCAGCATGCTGGGCATGGGCAGTCTAGGGGTGACTATTCAGGTAGAAGAGATAATGATGAAGTTGGACCGCATATGGACCACAATCACCAGTCCGATTCCGATATCGCAACGGGTTTTCATGAGTCGGAGGACGATGATGAAGAATCCCGTTACGAGGACGTTCCTGAGACAAACGATGTATCCAAGATTAAGGTTTCAGATGCTGGTCATGCTGCCGTGAATGGAGTTTATGAAAGAGATGGGCATTGCCAGGGAGTGGAAAAATACAGTAGGGTTTGTAAGGATCGAGATTGCAAATTTTCGATTTTCAAGTGCAAAGTGAGCAATGAGACTTTTCATTGGTACATTTCTATTGTTCCCCGTGATCGGGAGCCGGGAACTGTTCAGGACACTGACTTTTACTCTGCTTCTGTAGCAGCAGAGTGTGAAATCCTTCCCCCATCGACTGGGTGGAGTAAATGCAGCGATGGCGGGGATCCTCCCCCAACACTTGCTTTTGAAAGAGATGGTGTCGGTCCAACTTCCGTTCCGTTCTAATAGCGGGACACTGTTTCGCCATAGGCCAACCGCTCGTGTAGAAGACACCGTGAAATGATTGTAGACTATTACTCTGCCAAACCCCCATTTATTATTATTATTGATTAGCAAAGTACGTTTTCGTATCCTAGGTTCTGCACTTCGTACGTGTGATCGCTTGCTATCCGCAATCGACTGCCTGGGTTCCCCGGAAACACGGTAACGGACGATGGGCAGACAGCATGTGTATTCTAGATTCTAGATCACACTAGCGAAGCGAAGGTAGAAGGTTCCTACGTACGTACCCTACAACTGCCACTACTTGTATGATATGAGTGTTCCAAGGAAATCGTACGAGTACTCGTACCTTTTCACTTGTACGGTACCAGGTACAGTACGGTACGTACGTACAGACCGAGGAAGAAATTTTTTAGTACCGTAGTACCTCCGCAGTACGAGTTTGGGTGCGAAATAAGACTATCCATTTCTAACAGGTTATGAGTAAATAAAACGCGCCAGTTTTTACTAAGTGACAGCTTTATGTTCCGGGTGTAAAATAAGACTATTGTTCCACACGTAGAGTCCTGTAGAATCCCTACCGTTAAAAAGCTGTCATGTCTTATTTCGCACCCTAACTCGTGTACCGGTATGTCAGAAGTCAGAAGGTCATCTAATATTTTTGGCTTCAGTTGGGTCGTACGAACCGTACCATATCGAATCATTACTACTCGTACTCGTATGATTTCTGGCTCTCTACGGTATTCTGGGTTCTGAAGTCTCAACCAAGAAGCTGTATGCGAGCGAGTACTTAGAGGACCAGAGGGAGATGGCATCAAACGTACCATGATCCGAAAGTCAAATTCATCCTTGTTACAGCAGCAAGCGATACCGGAGTGCGACGTAGAAGACAGCAACACCAACACGGAGCGGTCGGACAACGACGAAGCCGCGGGGGAAAGACAGGCCGCCCTCCCCCTGCTCACTGGCAGTGTCGTAACGGTCACTGCCCCCACAAACAACATGACCTTCTGGTCGAGGGCCTCCGGGTAYATGAACAGCACTCGGCTCATGGTGTTGCTGGTACTATGTCTCCAGAATTCGATGTTTACGATACTGCGGAGGTACAGCCAGGGCGTGCTGGAAGAAACGTATTCCAAGGTGAGTTATGATAAGAGACGAACAAGGAACGGACAGTTGATCAAACAGGCAAACACCAACGATTCACAATGATCCAGCAAATAATGTTAGAAACGAGTGGATCTTGCAAAAGAATCGTGTCCGAATTGGTGTGGTGCAAATCGTTTCGTGGTGACCAAACTATTTTTCCGTAGTTTATTGACTTGCCTTTTTCCAATTACGACGAATCGATACATCACTCTTTGAAACTTGAATGCGCAATTGAAAATAAACACAAACGCAAAACCTAAATTTGAAATAGTACGAGCTTCTTTTGGTAGCGGAATTGATCAAGATCGTGTATTCGACCTGGATGATTTCGAAAAATATTGCCTCCGAGGGGGACAGCTTACAAAGCAGCGCAGAAAGGACACCGCGAAAGTCGCTTCGTGCGGAGCTTGTCTACCTGGTGGAGACCTCGCGAAAAATGATGGTTCTGGCACTCATTTACGGATCGATGAACATTCTGAGTTTCATCAGCCTCCGGAACATCTCGGCAGGCATGTTTACTATTTTTGCCCAGTGCAAGATCCTGTCGACCGCTATGTGTTCTACTATTATGCTCGGCCGCCAGTATTCGTGGACCAAGTGGAGGGCACTGATTGCTCTCATGCTTGGTGTCCTGCTCTTTAGCGAGCCGATCTGGGGAAGAAACGACGACGGAGAATCCGCGCTGTCGACCACGGAGGGCGGCAATGCGGCCCTTGGGACCTTGGCAGTGCTTACCGAGGTGATGCTGAGCGGATTCGCGTCCATCTACTTCGAAAAGGTCATCAAATTGGACCCTCTTCAGCTCGGTATATGGGAACGAAATTTCCAGCTGGCGCTGGGGTCCGTTCCCGTATACTTACTCTTTATTGCCGGAAACGGCGGAGGGACCGCCGGCTTTTTCGGGGGCTGGTCCTGGCTGGCGTTTCTGCTATCGGCACTGGGCGCGGCTGGGGGGCTGCTTGTCGCCCTAAGCATCAAGTACGGCGACTCGATTCTGAAAACCCTGGCCACGACGGGAGCCATTGTCTTGACCGGGATGCTGGATCATGCCCTGCTGGGAGGTCCATTGACGCCGACGATGGCCATCGCGGGGGTGCAGGTCATCATTGCCATTTGCAACTACACCTTCGATGCCAGCCCGGCACCAATCGATTCYGGTGMTTCCAAAGGGAYATCAGCGACCAAATCCAACTCAATGACCAGCCTGATACCGTCCGGCGAGGCCGATGAAACACCACCATCCTGGAGCACACGCGATGGGTCTGTCCAAAAACGTTAACCACCATCTAAAAAGAACGAAAACGCCACGAAAAGCATCACCGCCGACTGCCCAATTGTCGCTTGCCAACCAAGCCGACGGACCAGTCTTGGAATGCATGAATATTGACTCATTGTTCGAGTTAAAATGAATTTTCAAGCGAGAAAAAGGCGATGGATCCTGTAATTACAATTACTATCACAATCGCAACATCCCAACGAAGGAGGGACCGAATGTACGGCATGTGTCACAACTTGGATCAGGAAGTATATTAAAATGGAAACTAGCACAGAGATTTTTTAAATCGTTATTGAAATACAAAGATATGTGGTGCATGCCGAACGTACCGTACGATGCTTCCTCAAACATCTGCCGAACGAAGACTAAAATATACCGTCCATGGTTCAACAGCAACAAGGTTTGGGAGGTATGGAAATTGGTGTTTGTAGTACACCTGCACAATTCTATGGACTTTGTACTGTGGTGTATCTACTAGTACTATTATTATACTAGTATAATATTTTACATGTACTGCACCTGCAAGATACATACAAGGTTGGAGTTCTACGAGTCATAATTTTGTGAACTAAATTAAGTAATCAGGAGCAGCTAGCAGCTTTCTAGCTAATACTATCAAAGGACCAATCGGACTTCAAAAATTTGTTAGTCTGAAAATGTTTTCTTTCCTCTTACTGTACATGTAMATATTGCTGTGTGGATTTTGCTGAGAACCTTTTCTGGCTTGTTGATTTCTCTGCACAACAAATTTGCATAAAAACTCATAAAATTAACCTCATTAGTACTAATTCAACCTGTTACACCCTTGGCAAAGACCCTTAACTTCCATAACCCACGCAAACTGCATACAGGTTCTATTCCTTACTATGAGAGGAAGGATCTAGAAGTCATGGATTGATTGACTAAGTGGTTTAGAAGAAATAGCAGCACTGTTTTACTAACAGCAGCCAAATTTGATATCCAACAATTTTCCTCCATACCAGCACCTCATATCAGAGTCCTGTTTGTCTGTATTATCCTTATCACCACTACTACTAGCAGTAGCTCCTTGGTATCAGTATCCTCCATACCACCAGCAAGCAGCATCCTCCTCCAGCACCATGCTGTCAGTGGGGGTCCTCTTTATGTATCAGCTACTAGTACTAGTGTCCCCGCCTGTACCAGGGGGGCATCATCCTCTGTTGTACTAGTATCAGCATCCTCCACATCGTCAGCAACCTTTCTGGTGTATCAGGGCAGCATCCTCTGTATCACCAGTGGTGTCTTCTGTGTCACCAGCTCATCCACATCAGCTTGCTCATATTCCATCATGTCCTCCTTTGAAGTACTGTACTGAAAGATAGACTGAAATAGTCTCTCATAACAGGTTGGCTTCTACTACTAGTAGGGTGTTAATATCATGTTGTTCCTCACACGAGGCTGYGTAGAATTCTTACCAGAAAAAAGCTGTTATGCAGTATAATAGAACCACAACCTTGTACTCATACTTGTAATTGGTCCAAAGTTGTTTCATTTTTAAAAATTTGTACCTTGCAGGTACCAGGGGTCATAATTTTAGAGGGGTGTGCAACACGTCAAAAATTCTGCAGCTTCTGCTGCAAAAAAACTCTTATTCCATCCTTGGTACAAATAAGAAAAATTTAGCTCAAATGGAATTTTTAATTCTCATTTTTACTGCATAGCACTACTAGTAAGCCTATTCAACCTTTATCCACAATGAACTTAACTTTTTCCTGTCTCCACCCAAATCATGCACTTTTGGATTTTTTTGGGAGTTTCCATGATTTTCACTTCTGTGGACTGCAGTACAAATAATACACAAAATAAGACTGAAATACCAAAAAGAGTTTTAAACAATTACTTTGTATAAAACACCTTTTCTGATCATTCATTTCTCTCCTTGTAATATCCAAGCAAGAAAATATGAAACACTCCAAACCAGAATATAAACCATCACCCAAACCATCATATTTACCAATATACTAGTAATGATGATTCTTTTTCTGATGGTTGACAATTGTTCATACTATGGTCATAGTACTACTAGTGATGCAGACCTATCTGACAACAGTGGTGGTGGCATGCACCCTCACAGTAGTAGGAGCCCCTCCCAAGATGACAGCAGTGTTTTCAGTGGTGATACTACTACTAGTAGTACTCGTAACAGTTCTCTTGGAACAAGTCTTTCTGATGATGCCCCTTACTACTACAACAAGAAAGCTCCTCCCTTTGACAACAAAATTCAAGAACTCCTCCTTGACTGTGATATCTCTGATTCATCTGATCTGGAGCAGGATGAGTTGGAACATCTCCTCCAGGAGTCCTCAGTTCTCATGAGTCCCACTAAAATTCTTCCTGCTGGTACACACCACATGTCTTTAGATGATGGTGATGAAAAAGCACACAACAATTACCATGAAGAAGAATGGAACAACAATGTCACTCAGCATCAATATCCTTGTGTCTGGAATGTTGTGCAATTCTTTGAACAAGTACAAGACACAAGAGTCCACCCAAGAGGAGAGGAGATCAGCTCTGTATAGGAGTACTACTACTACTACTAGTACTGCTGGAAGTATGATTCATGATTATCTCCAACAATGAAGAGTTGTTTGGTGGGTTTCATTTCTGGATGTCAAGACTGGTAACAGTCAAATACTGCCAACAAAGCTTGCATTAGTAGTGTCATGGTGACATGGAATGGCAAGAAGTTGTTGGGCGATGATGCAGAGGAGTGGTCTCCCCCCCCTCTGCCCAGTACATATCACCTGAAGGAGGTGCAACCCCAGGTCCCACCTGTGCTGTAAGGAATACATTGGATGGCTGCACTAATAAGGTGGAAGGGTTGGTGCATTTGTTCTTGTTCTTGTTCTTGTTTGATAAAAGAATCCTTCAACTGATACTACTAGCAACAAATGATCTCAACCAGTATACATTTGAAGATTGGACTGGAAAGCTCCATATGATGAAGGTTTTAAGCCAGAGTGGATGCCAAAGCTTTCAAAGAATGGAAAATAACACCCTTATGATTGTGGGATTTGTTTCCTGCCTCTGTGTGAACAAAATTACCAGCACCACCATTGGTCATGGAAAGGTAACTTCAAAGCCACAAGGGGAAGAAATATGCAGTGACAAGTATCATGAAGGAGTGAAGAGGAACTATTGTGTTGTCTATGTAGAAGAAGCAAAGCATAGGTATCCTAACTTGTCACCAGTSAGGAGATTGAGGAAGTTGCCATGGATTAGTATGAAAATGTCAAGGAATAGTTGCAGAAGTTGCAATCTTCTTGCTGTATGTAAAGATCATTGGTGGAGTAGTAATTTCAACCATCGCCAGGTGGTGTAGTGATGTGTTATAAATGAATAATTGTATTTATATTTGTTAAAATAGATGTAATTGCAGTAATGAGTAGAGTAGTGTTGTAGTAGTAGCAGTGCAAGTAGGAAAAAAATATTAAAAAATCCTGAATTTTACAGGTGGCACCAACAAGAACAACAACATCATTTGGCAACAGGAGTTACGAAAAAGTCAATACTGAAAAAGGGTGCCCACTTTTTTAGCACACAATACTACAGTACTAAGATTTTCATTCTTGGATTAGATTTTCACTCTTGGATTTGGGACTAGATTTAGATCCTCTGTCAGATGCAAAGTCTAAAAATTCGGACTAGATGGTCTATTTTTGGTCTGTCTGTCTGTCTGTCTGTCTGTCTGTCTGTCTGTCTGTCTGTCTATCAAAAAGGAGACCATCTACCGGTACCGGTAGATTAACGGGAATGACTCATTAAAGGATTTATTACGGACAMATTAAATTTTTTGGAGCCGTTAGTTCATCTTGGCTTTCCAAATTTTTAGCCACATGTACTTACGGTATGCGCCGTAAGTTCGAAGCCGATAGGAATCCGATGAGATGATCATTTCCGCCAATGATTCATACGACTAAAAGAATTTACAGACAGTCGAAGTTTCTCTTGAAAAAATGAGACATTAAATTATATACTTCTACGTCTATGWATAATGAATACAACGAATAAGATTGGTAATCCTAGATTTTGACCTCGCCAAGTGTGAGGATCTTTGGATTTTGCGATTACTAAAAACACTTTTTCATATTACTCCGGTTCCCTCCAAACTTGAGTTGCTCAACTCACGGTAACTCTCATTCCTTSCATGTCGAAAAATMGTGCGCTCACACATCGTTTCATTAGGAAATTCTAAACAGTTCGAAATCTCATAGGACTCTAGTATCATTACTTTTGAAGACAGACATTTCAACAACGATAACAATATCATCATGTCGTCCGAACCAGCAGACCAATTYATCCAGATGACGGATTCCGAGGCCATCTTCGAGGAAGAGTGCGACAAGCTCGAGAAACGCGGAAGACGCCTTCGACGAGCCGCCCTCCAGACGGGTATCCTCACCATTGTCTCGATCCTCTGCACTATCTATACCACCATCGCTGTACGATGGGTTCTAATCGAATGGCAACAGCCCGAGAAGACCATCTACGACATCGCTGAATCCTTGACCATGTTCAAGATTGGAATCTTCTTCGATATCGTTGTTACCATTTGTGACATTGTCATCGGTATCACCTTGGGTCTCATCATGGTCGGTGCTGGAGTCAACCCTGCCACCGCTGTTACCATCTGTACTTTCAAGATTGTCCAACAGGCTGTTTCCGCTGCTAACATCATCTTCTTGATCGCAGCTCACCTTTTGTTGGACGGTGCCAGCCCCATCTACGAAGTCATCCAAAAGTACTTCTACTCTGACAACATGCCTCCTATCGGAACCCAAATCTCCTACATGTTCTTGTTGATCAATCAATACGGATACTACTTCCAACAGAGTAAGTAATATATGGATCGCCTTCTTTCTAACTAAGGATGAAAGGAATCAAACTCACAAATTCCCCTTCTTTTTTCAGTCTTCGGCGGTGTCTACATGTTCCTCCTTGGATTCACCATCGTCTTGTGGGGTGTCTTCCCTCGTTACATGGGTTACTCCATGTGCCTCGCTGGAGTCGGATACGGAGTCAACTCTTGCTTGTACCTCTTCTTCCCCGGTTACGATGGTGTCGTCTCGTGGTTGTTGTTGTTCCCTGCCCTTGCCACCCACTTCTGGCTTGCCGGATGGTTGTTGGTCAACACACCTCACCCTTCCAAGAACCGCGATCTTTGGGGATCTCGACCAGCTGTCCCTCAGTACCCTGGAAAGCAAGTGGAGCCTTAAAGCATATATTCTCTTCACGAATAGATTAGCTTGGCTCATCCCACAACACGACATAGCGATGACGTGAAATGAGCTTCTCCTATTGTATAGCAAAAATCGCATCCCAATCCTGTGACACAAAAAACCTCTTTTCTTGCACTTGGGAGGGAAATGCACTTTTTACATGTTGTTGACTTAAAAGTATAGTAAAACAAATTTGAATAATTTTGCATTCATTGATTCGATGATTTTGCTTTTCTCATCTCTTTCAGTCGGGATTGATGCATTTGTACCGTGCGTAGCTCGGTTTGAATCGTTTCGAAAAAACTAAATTCTAGTTTGTTGATGTGATCTTTTGTCGCTTCCTTTCAACAACTTCTCCGAAATAGTTGCTTCTGACTGGGAAAACAAAAAGTCTGTAAGGTTTGCTGGATCTCTGCGATAAAAGTATCTGTCCCATATTGGATTGGATTGCATCGATGTGTGTGTTGCTCGGGTGAATACACATGAAAAAATGGAGCAATGGAACAATTTCATTGATTGGCATGTTGCTCGGGTGAAGACCCATAAAAAACGGAGAAGTGGAACAGTTCAATTGACCGGCAACGCAGAAACGAAATAATCAGACAAGAGGCAGGATTTCGATCGGAGTTTCCACCGCCAAGCATTTGTGTTACCATAGAACGAGTGCAAGTACGACTACTWCTCCTATTTTATGCTATGAGTACGTTGATGCATGGATACTAGCTACTTCTTCTTATTTCAAATCAAAAACGACCTCTTAACATCATTGTTACGCACGGTATAGTTGCTCCGTGAAGTTGCGGGCTTGATTTGTTAGTTTACTGGATTTTTGTGTTTGCATGTATAGAAGGATGCTCTCATTGCATCGACACCCTCAAGGTAACTAACTGAACCATAGTTACCAGCCTTCCGACCATAATCGGATTTTTATTTTGGAGGTGTTCATGGTTTGTTATTCTTTCCAAACGACAAAACACGTTTACGCTGGGCCATATCCGTCATGGATTTGTTTGTTTGTCTGTTCACCTTGGCTATTTTCAGGTTCTCCTTATACAAATTATCAGTGCATTCCTTCCGCATCCAGTACTTTCTTGCTTTTACTTTAAAAAATCGCAAAAAGACTACGTGCAATTCTTATTTGTTAACGGACCGGGTTGACGAGCCCGTAGAAGCTTCAGAAGAAGCGCTCGATGCATTCGCCGAAGCCCGGTGCAATCGCTTGGCGCCGCGGAGGGGCCTGCCCGTGGCGGCCTTTGTTTCCACCTCGTCGTCATTTTTACTGCCGCTGTGGTCCATCTCGTCCATACCCCGTTTTTTTCCAACCAGAATGTTGTTGCCAGTACCGTGATGGTGGCTTGTCTTTTGTTGCTTTCGGGGAGACTGAGAGGTAAACTTTTTGTTGCGCGCATTCTTTCGAAAATGGCCGGTGGTTTTAGAGGTAGTGGAGGAGGTAGATGGAGAGGAAGGACTAAGGGAAGAGGATGATGGCGACGATACCAGGTCAATCTTTGGCATGTTCAGCGCGGAAATTCCCCGATTGTCGTCGTCACTGTCGTCGTCTTCCCCTGATTCGTAAAGAATGTTGTCCAGCGATATCCTGGCAATCAGTCTATCAATTGCTTCAGCGGGTGTGATATCCCTTCGAGATAGCATCTCTCGCCGCATGGCTCGGCTGACAGTAACTGCCCTTGTTGCTTCGTCGACGCCCAGTTTGTGTTTCCTCATGGCATCGAAAATCTAGAAACACCAAACAAAATCAAACAAATCGGATCACACAAGAGAGTAAGAAAACAATAGCAATCCGCAGTACAAATATTGTGTTAGACAAAATGTATTTGATCAAAAACTACACATCAAACTTTATCTGTGCGGTGACCTTTGAATGCTACCATCTCTATTCTTTCTCAAAGGCTATATCGATACGATGGGGTATCTTGTCATCCCGATTCTAACCTACCTCGTCATCCGTGGGTCTGCTGGTGGTGCCCGGAATCGTTGTTGATAATGATTCTTGTTGCTGTTGCATTCCGCGGTTCAGTTCCTTTAGCAGAGTAGCAACGGCCCGTTCTCTCGAAAAGCCGCACCTACCCATYAGCGCGTCGATGCCCGTTCGGATCGCGGCAACAAACTCCGTTCGGGCACGGATTTCCTCTGGGACGCTTTCTATCGATGGCATATTGTCTTCCCGTGTTCTAATTGCTGTTCTCTTATTTGAAAATATATAGTGTTGTTGTGTGTGTGGTTTGTGGTATATGTAGTTGGTACTTTTTGGTGCTGTCGTTTAGTACTTGCAGATCGAGGATTGCTGTGTTGTCCTTTATGGCCTAACGTCTAGATGATATTCTAAAGTTACCGTGTTTAATTACTTATGAAATGAAGACCGAGGAAGGCTTCAAAAGTGACGGAAAGTGACAGAAAGAACGAGAACCGTAAAACACGTGTGTCTTGCTGGTTTTTTGGTTTGATGCTACAAAACTTCGTTCACGTTTCAGTGCTCGTTGGTCCGAAGATGGTCTGGCCTTCGATACGTTTTGCAGGGGAAGAACTACGGAAGTCTTGTCGTATCGTTTTGTTTTTCCTTCGATCTGTGCGGAAAGGCAGGAATGATGGCTTGGATTCGATCCGATGCGTGGGTTGAGAATGTGTTCCGCAACAGTATTCGAATGGCGGTAAAATCAGAAATAGTCTGAGGATATGCTCGAGTTGTCAAACAGGGTTGGCTTTACGTTTTGTATCAGCAACAGATGTGTCGTGCTTKGTTTTTGTGTTTCCGCTATGTATCGTGCGCAAGTATTTTTGGAGGTACGGTATGCGTACGATTTTACGGGAGCGAATTGGTGTGAGGAGATGCAATTGTAAAATATTCCGATTGTTCTCGGCTTTCTGAAGCAACAACGAAGAACACGGCAATCTAACTGTGAAATGCTCTTTGGGCTTGATTGTACGACGATGCCGTACCGTACCGTGAGCTAGTTCTCCAACTGCTCTGAGTGCATTTCAAGTAGAGAAACCTATGGTATGACTCTTGTGAGAAGAACCAAGAACAAACCGCGCATGACGCGCGATCAGAAAGAAAGAGACGAATTCTGCATTCTTCGTGTGAATTCCGACTGTCAACGAAAAAAGGTTGTTCTGWTGTTCCCAATAGAATAGAGTACGTACGTACCTTTACCTACGTAGGAGCACCAGTAGGCAATCGAGTTTTCAGTTCTCGTGACATAAAGCCATGTCGATTTCAAATTTTCGGAAATACTTCAAGTAGATTCCCCCCTCCTGGTACCAAAAATTGTGATTGGTTTTGATCACAAAAAAAATGTGATCAGAAATATCAAATTTGCCATGTTTCTAAAGCATGGGTTATTTTTCACCAAAAATTGTCCATGTTTTTCTAGGGGAGGAATTTGAAAAAGCTTGGGTTGCAGAGGGCCCAGCAGAGGAGACAGCACACATCACTCACTGACTCATTGGACTTTCGTCACACAAACCTGTACTATGGTTTTTTTTT